AACCTGAATGAAGAAATTTTGAAAAGGTGACAGATTTTGAGCAAACAAAATGCCCATTATCACACTCGTGAACTCTTGGCTACATCTATGAATTGTATTGAATTAAGCTTTTATACAATTCAATTTTTATTATATTCATGGGCAAATTACCGTTTTTTTCCTCAACAATTATAATCATTAACCGAAAATTATGCCCGGTTAAAAAAATAGGTATTTAAGATGGGAGAAAATTAGAGTCTCACAAAACATCACGTAATCGCGTATCGATGATTACTTTGGTTACTAGTCGGTACAATCTTGGTTGATTAAAATACATTTTTAAGAGCCTAGTACTTTGACATGACAATAAATCTCTTGTAATTGTTAACATTGTCTACATATTGACAATGCTCTCGGGAAGATTCAATACTTTATACAGATATATGGTTTGTACTCATTATTATAACCAATTAATTTCGAACTTTTCCCACATCTATTTTCAAGGTTGTTGAATGAATACTTGTACGATTTTAAATAATTTTATGATACGGTGATTATTTCTATCAATATCTAAACTCATACCTGTTAAACCTGCAGCATGTTTAATCAAACGTGATGATGATATCAATCAAAATAAAGTTGAAAATCAACTTTCATTTCAGAACTCATTTTGTTTCTATGTTGAATACATTAGCGAATTTTCAATGTATTTTAGTTTAGATCAAATGAAAATTTGTAATGTGCTGGAAAAAAATTCTCCTCGACTGAACAAATTGACACGCAAACCAGTCCAGCATTTAAAAAGAAAGTAATTAAAGTAATATCACAGAGTAAACATGTACGAAATCAAGGAATCTATATACACATAACATAAGGTAAATGCATATACATGTACATAATGTTTCATCCGTAGGCGGCTGTTTTACAATGAAATATATAGATGATTAAAACTATAAATTACTAACACGAATTCGGACGCTACCGTGTTTTAGATTTTTTGGTTGTGACGTCAGAGTTGAAACAAGAGTCTCTGTTTTAGGGAAATACCATTGAAGGTGACCCAAATTCATAATAAAAATGCAAGGAAAATATGTACTTCTCCCCAGAGTCGCCGCAGTAATGTGAGACATTTTATACTTCCTCTATTATTAAATCACGATGTCAAATTTTGAGAATGCATTTTTGTTGTTGATTGAATGGAGGGTGTTGTGTAAAATGTGCAAACCAGTTTGCTGATAGATTAAAAAAAAAAAAAATCAAAGAATAAGAAGAGAAATGATGGGCCTTAGGTTTTAAAATGTTTATGCTGAAAAGGGGCATTCGAAATGTACCGATTTATACCGACTTTAAGAAATATTCCTCACAAACAATTATTGAAAAGAACAAATATGAATATGCGGGAGAGGGTGTTTGTTTCACTGATGAGAGTGAGAGTGAGGATGTCATTTGGTGTATAAAAACTTAAGGTATACAGATTTACACATCAAACAAATTATGATAGTTATTCTAATGATAAGTATTAGATGCTTCTTTAGAGATTGATAATTAGTGTCTCGCCACATGAGGCAAATGCATTTGAATCTTCACATACTAAAGGAACAACAACAGAAAATGTTTATACAATCATACAAAGTAATGAGCGTAGTGTACACAAGGTGCGTATGATCCATAATTGCATTTTGCAACGATATTGTCCAATCAAGTAAACATGGGCATGCGTATATAAGATAAAATAATAAGATATAAGATAAATACCTGGGGACCTGGACGTGCAGTAATTTTGATTTGTGTACAGCGCTTTGAAACTTTTATGTCACAAGCGCTATATAAATTGTTCGTATTATTATAATTATGAGAGAAGTATGTGAACGTAATGTGCCTACAACACTAAGCACATCCGCATAATTTAAAATACTTAAAAGAAAATAATTGACAGTTACCATAGGAATATGTGCATACATATAAATATAATTTAAGATAAATGAGGGTTACTAAAATCATTAATATGTTATAAAAGTATTAAAACATATACCATTACACTTTATGCATACATAACTATTTGTATATGTGCTAGCAAAAACAAAATATGCCCACAATTATGTCTACACATTGTTAACGTAAACACTCTTACTAATTGCATGAGCACATCCAGAAGGTGCTCGGAACAGTGAGATAGGTGATTATATAGACACTCATTCTATAGAAGAACACTGTGTGATTGGGATAACACTAAAACGTGCAATAATATAATGATGCTTATAAAGCATACTTTGACGAACTGAAACAAACAAACAATGTAACTATTACAATTGTATTATACTTCAGTTGTTGTTTTGTTTCCTTAAACTTGAACATGAAGATACGCTTAAACATTTTGAATGCTATTACTAACAATTATGAAGTAAAATGGCATTTTCAAAGAGATATGAAAGAATATGAAATTATTTCTACAATTTTATGACGGATTTTGTGCGATGTGGGCTCCACGTAATACAGACCTTATGAAAAGAGTCTGAAATTTGCTAATAATTAATAATCAGCTCACTTTGGAAACTTCGTTCGGTTGTGAATGTTAGATTGTTCTTCTTGAAAACTAACGTCTCGCCTATATGGACGTTAGTGCAGGACTGATAATCGAACCATGATAATTTTGAATCAATATAAATACAGCAATTATTCAGAACATTTCTTGATCTTTAGCCATCTGATAGGTATGACGAGACATCGGGCATCCATAAATTTATCATTAATGTAGGCGGATATTAATAAGTTGTGTGTCGCATCTCCACCGGACAGAAATAGGATAAGGCGTATCCGTATAACATACAAACATATACGGGTGGTCACTGACACAAGCATGGATTGTCTGCAACTTATTCCACGATATGTCACCTAGCATTCGTAGATTTAGTACGTTTTGAAAGACGTATATAAAAATCATGTAGCCTTTCAAGGGACTCCCCCCCCCCCCCCCCCTCAAACAAAAAAAGGGTAGATTCTCCCTGTGTCCCTCACGGGGATCTTCTGCCTCTGCAATGCAGGGTATGACTGATCTCGACAATTACTGCGTAGAGTATTCATTGTATAGCATTACAAGCTATTGAAGAACAATAGGAGAAAGAAAAACCAACGTGGACCAATACTAATGCTTGTGTATAGAGTTTAATTTAGGCTTCGTTTTCAGACATCGTGGTGTGTCGCAAACGAACCATGCCCGTGTTGTAAGACCACCCTAAACCTAATGCATCAATATGATGTAAGCGATCAAGCCATGGTATAACCATTACGATATGTACATGTTTAATAGATAAATGAATAAATAATGAGAGAGTTATGACGAAACTAATGATCATTCGACACATATACTATGAGAGCAGTCCTGGCGGCCCGTTTCTGTATTTTGTCGCGCGTCCAACTGATCGGCGCTCTCACTGATGCAGTGCATCTTCTTGTACCACACCACCCAGAATTTGGCGGCAATGAAATATGTACTAGTGTCCTCTTTCCATGGCTGGTCCTGCTGCACGTCTGATTGCTGAGATACAGAGAGAGAGAGAGAGAGAGAGAGAGAGAGAGAGAGAGAGGGAGAAGAGAGAGAGAGAGAAAGAGAGAGAGAGGGAGAGAGAGGGAGAGAGATAAAGAGAGAGAGAGAGACACACAGAGAGAGAGAGGGATGGAGGAAGACAGACCGACATACATACAGAGAGAGACAGAGACAGAGAGACAGACAAACGGAGAGAGAGAGAGAGAGAGAGAGAGGGGGGGAGATTTCGTTTGAAATATTTAGATGACATAAACAATAAATAATAAATATTAAGTTTCTTAGAAGCTTAGACTACGATTTGTTTCATGACGGTTTTAATAATTATATTTTTCTCATTTTCTGATGAAAATATCTAATAAAAACGTGTTATCTGTTCCGGAAGAAGGCGTAAAATGTAACTTGCTTTCAGATCAGTAATTACTTGTGATTAAGCATTGGAAATGAGATAGAAGATACATAGGCAGTGATAATTCATATCCGTTATTCGGAGAGCGGTAGTAGTTATGGGACACCGCTTTAAGGTACTATGTCCCATTTGCAGCCAACATCAAATTCTGGAGAGCTTTGCAGGAATTATGAATATGTCACGTATGTCCTACCTGTGAAATTTAAACGTTAGGAGTGTCCTAATATTCAAATTATGTAAGGAAACCCGTTTACTTTCTAGAATACACTGTCAGACACTACCGAGTAACTGACTGACCCTTTTTCTTGGGTAATAATAAACATAAAATGAGTTGCAAAGGGTAAATGAGCATTTGGCTACATTAATAACCCAATTCTTGTAATGGCCAAAATTAAAGTGATTGAATATTTGCGCAGCACAAACCGTACGACCCTTCGGTACAAGGGTCTTAAATTTAGACTATTACTAAAATGACTGCAAGCACTAAAGCCGATTAGACAACAATTGCTTGTTATTTTCCTTCATTTCAAGCACCTTTGTTTTGAGGAAATTTCTTAATTTTTTAATTGTGGAATCGTTGGATGCCGTTGGAATTTAACATTTTCAATTGTTGGGACTGCAAATGGGACAAAGTACCTTTAACACCTCTCAAAATATATCGTAAGATATTATTTGTCGTATTTGCCTACCTCCTCTCACACTAAAATGGGGGTGTACCTGCAGTCGATTTAAGTTTCCGAAATGTTGAAAAACTAAACTCATACTTGGATTTTGATTTATAACATAATATAGATTCAGTGTTGTATCCAGCATAGGGTGAAGCTGGAATCCGCCCGCCCCTTCGTGTGAAGGCATATGCAAACGATTTGTAATTGTTACTGTATAAATACATTACGCCCCCCCCCCTCCCCCTCGCAGCTTTCTATAAAGGATGGTAACTAATTCATGAATTTTTGGAAATACCATTGGGAATGGCGACTCCTTAGATATTGATTGATGAAGGTACGCAACTACTTTCTGGTCAAGAAAGTCCCCAATCCAATAATAATTGAATTATGATACTATATTACGTTAAGAAATAAGGCTTACCATCGAGATATCAGACTCTGGGTAGCCGGATAACAGCGGACAATTCTCTAGCATTGATTTGATCTGAAAAAGAAAGAGAGAAATTTGATGTTCAAAATAATAATTGGGTCTTGTTCATCTAGGGTAGACACATCATCCTGCGGACCCTGCAATTATTACTCCCCCAGAAAATGATTGCCAGTACCAACTTACAACTGGATGGAGAGTGACACATGTGTATAAGCGTCTGGCCAAAAGACAGGTTTGGATTCGAACCCTCAACCCTTGGACTGAGAGCCAAAGTTTTCTTCGTAAGAATACCTTGAATTTTTCTTACGTCAGACTTACGGCCATCTTACGAGTTTGTATTTTCGCAAGATGGTCGTACGTGTAACTGACGACATTCTCAAGTCATTCGTAAGAAGATCTTAAGGTTTTTTTTGCATATTTTGTCGGGTTGCAAAAAAGCGCTGATAAATTGCATAAAATATGTACGTATTCCTTACGAGCACCTTAAGAACGCCTTGCGAACGCCATAAGTCGTTCGTACGAATGCCATACGAATCTCCGTATCGAATTAGAAATAAACCACGTTTGAATTTTATTCGGGGGTCAACTGCCCCCCCCCCCCCCCCCCCCCCTCCCCAAGCTCCCCCCATCAGTACGTCAGTGCAGGAGAGGGTATTACTGTCGTCTTCTTTCCCTAGACTTTTGCCCTCCTTAGTTCTTTTGTCTTCTTTTATCTCGGCTACAATCACCAATGCATCAGGGATGTTACTCACTTACAGAGCAGAGCATCACATCGTAATTAAATCTCTTCTGGCGACGATTTGTCTTCTTCTATTCTTCTAGTCTTGTCGGCAAAAAAAAAATCATAAAATTTGTGGATCCATGATAAGAGGACGTTTTCAGGCTGGATACAACACTGAATGTACATTATTTTATAAATCTTAATCAAATATACATATTTCCATGATTTGGAAACTAAAATCGAACATCCAATGTCCCTCTAACAACTGCTACTGACTATGAATTCTGTCCTACAACGTGGTACATGCACAAGCACGAGCAGCCGAAAATACTCACCTCGCATTTTAGTTCAGATAATAGTGATTTGACAGAAATGATGAGAACATTCATTTTTTCTGTAGATGTTCCTATAGATGTTCGGCCAAGGACGTTCAAGTAATCCTCTTTGAATTGTGTGGTACCTTTGACGGCCTCAGCAAGGAGATACGAAATAGCCTGCGGTAGAAAAAAACACGGGCCGTTATGACATTTCAAAATAAAAAATGTCCATAATTCATGGTAATATCAAACACAAATTACTATTGTAATGATGTAAACAACGATTTTTTAAAATTCTCCTTAGTTCTGGGCTAAGGTTTGTTGTTGTTGTTGTTTCGTTAAATACGAATATCATGTTATACAACTGCCTGTGTGTATTATTGATTCGTATTGGTAAAACGTCTGTTTGAAAGTAATTGTTTTTTATATCTCATTAAAAATGATTTGCTCTCTTTACATAATTACGGCCGAGGTAAGGATTTTGTATTGAGATCAAAACTTAAACCTTAAAACATAATTATAATGTCTCTGTGTATGGTTTAGGGTTTCTTCGTCACTGTCCTATAGGGGGGAGTTGTCTGGGGGTAGTTGTCCGGGGGTAGTTGTCCGGGGGTAGTTGTCCCGCGGGGTAGTCGTCCTAGAGGGTGGTTGCTCTAGGGGGAAGTTGTCCTGGGGGGGGGGGGGGGTAGTTGACTGGGTGTGGTTATCCGGAGATGGATGTCCTAGAACCCGCAGACAGATCGTATAGTGTGTGGTGGGCTTAAAGCGCTAAGAATCATCGTCGATGTCTCAATTAGGGCTATATTACCTGATCATCATCTTAATAAAACAAATTATTTTCATAATTATTACTATAATTGTTAATATCAATATCATCATCATCATCATTATTATTATTTATTAAGATTGTTGACCTACCCATTTACTGGAGGGGCATGGGTTCCACGCACCCTGCCACCTGAAGAAACTCCCACTCTCTTCGATGGTCGCTACATGCTTAAGAAATAAATGAGTTTCAAAACCATTATCCGACAACATTTTATTTTCTCCATAGTATATGATTATAAAAGGGGCATAGATGTCATACATTGATTTGTTTTACTTAATAATATTTTCTTAAATTAACTTTTGAAATCTTGTTACAGGGTGACCAGGGGGGGGGGGGGGCACTCGGATTTGGTTTGGACGGGGGTGTGCCGCTCAAGGCCCGAAACCCCTACCCATTATTAAGGGTAGTTATGCTCTAAAAAGGGCAAAGTTTTCACGAATTTCGGGCGTTTTACGGGGGTGTTTGCCATGCAAACACTCGAAAAATAAATAAAAACAGACCCATTTTTAATAGTATTTTTGTCAAAAGTGGGACCCTATGTTTAGGGATTTTTTGTGTGTGAAAAAGTAGCCCATTAAAGCGGTACACCCCCGTATGTCTTAATATGTGAGTAACCCCCCCCCCCCGGAGGGTGACTCAATAGTGAGGGTTTTTAAATCTGGGTTCTTAAGCTAAATACTTGTATAGTATTTGGTGCACATGATACTTTTGTGGTTGGAATTCGAAAAACGAAATTGGTGCTACAAATTTGTCTTATCTCGTCTTCAGATAGGTTAAGTTGCTCAGTTTTATACTCACATTTAATTCAAGATTGTGCTCTAACTCCACACTTATTTTCAGTCCATCCAGCCTATCCGTGAAATCCTTGGATAGAAAACAAGCCGCCGCGTTTTTCGTCACATTTTTCGCCGTGCAATCCTCGTCCGTCGATCGACTCACGATATGGCGAGTTTGTGTGAGGTATGCAAACTGAAGCAGGAATAGTGCCATCAACGTTAGCTTGGTGTTCACATACATGATGTCCGAGAATTATTCAATCCTGGCACCTTGATAATGTTGGAAAAGTCTTTCGTTTGGAGTCCGAACTGAAATCTGTTTGCTGTTTTTATATGTTTTACGTTCCTCCCTGGAGAGTAAGCATACAATAACTTTTGAAACTCTTTCATATTTTCAAGATAAAAGTAATACAAAATTTGTATGCAAACGAAGAGTTTTACGCAGTAGACTTACTTCTGAATCTATTATTTGACCAAAATTTCCCACAATACAATTCAGAAAATGTATGACCATACGATTGATAAGAAAATGATATAATAAATCGTTTTATTGTAAATACTAATTCATAATATCAACTGAAATTTAGAACGCGGAATTTCACTTAATCGCGGATCGTAATGTTTAATCTAAATATTGTAAGTCGTTTTGGCGAATTCTGACACTTTGATTGACGTTACACAATCCTTTTACACAAAATATACCTCTTTGATTTATAAAAAAATGCTGTTGTGCTTCTTGCGGTAATATCCAACTTCTTAAAATTACAATTGTTATCAACTTTAAAAAGAATACATTTCTTTTTCAAAGAACACTGAAAATAGATGGATAGAAACGAAGAATTGTTTACCTGTATAATTATATAAATTGGCTGAAGTTGTAGGATTGCTGATTCAAGAAACATATACGAGAAGTTTAACGTTGAAGATGAGATGATGATGGTGTTTGCATGAGGTTGCTGGTCGGTAAGAATGGTGATATTCATGTCTTTACGCTGGTATTTAAAGAAATAATCCCAATGGGGATTAATACAGAGGGCATTCATCATTTATCACCAAGTCCGGGTGTTGCTTTTAGAAACGGTAATAATTTCAAATCCATATACCAAGGGAATAACCCGAGTGCAAGATGCGAGTAAATCGAACACTAGAATCCAGAACCGGAAAACTTCTGGTCCTGGAGTTTACAGCGAACGACTGAATCTCGAAACGTTTGTTGACCCCAAATCCAGATCAATTGATTGTTCTTGTGTTATGTCTCAATACGCTTGGCTGCCCACGAAAATGGGTTTTAATAATCACACTGCATTGTATGCAGAGACATATTTATGCGATCGATACAAAAACAAAAAGCCCTCTCGAAAGTATTGCGAAATACTACTTTCGTTTTGTTCCCCTCTCCGTAACTCTAGAATGCTACGTTTCATCCGATAAGGAAAATGTTCTCGATCATGATTATAGACAAATGATGAAATGATGTATTCTATAATCATTCTGGCATTCTAAAAAGCCCACCAGGAAATCTTAACGTCCCGTTTAAACGTGGGCAAAACAAACAAGAACGATAACGATACAAAATGTAGAATAGTGAATACCGATATGAATAAATAATTACTCTTTCCCATGAATTTCATATAGTTCCGATTTTCGTTCAGTGCAAATGAAATAATATACAGAGTGATTTAACGATTATCATGGTTGTGTAAGTCACTGAGCAGAGTTTAAATCAATAACTAGTTCAGTATTGAATATATTACTCCTACCAATCTATATAGCAGGGGGTTGGTCCTCCGCCGGTCTTCACTATTCTCTGTTCCCTGTTTGAGCCGCTGTCAGCACTGTATTAAATCTTCTCTCTGATATCAACATGCTAAATACAAAATATTCTTTAAATTATCTGAATTCCTTATGGTCAAGTATATCAAGTGAGCACGTGAACAGCAATGGGCGGGTATATTTGTTTAATTATTTTTTCTAATTAATTCTCTTTTCATAATGATCGTTGCATTTCTACTTTTTATACTGAAATCCTAAGGGACTATTATACTGTACATGTATCTATAGATAGGTCACTGGATTTATTCCACATAGTGAACATCCGCCAAGCATGTCAGCCGGGGAGCGTGCCAGCCAGGCGCCTTTTTACAGGGGTACGCGCACTAATTCAATCACCAAACTATATATATACCTGGGCCCAGTCTTACAAAGAGTTACGATTGATCCAAATCAATCGCAATTTTGCAGTCTCCTATCTCGTATGTACATAGTTGCGATTGATATTCACTCTTTGTAAGACGGGGGCCTGGCTTGAGGAAGATAAAATGCCTTGCTTAAGAACATTAGGAGGGGATCGAACCCACGACCTACGCATTTCCGGTAAGGTGTTCAAACTACCCGACTACAACACTTCAGGAATCGGTTGAACGCTACCTAGTATACAATTTCATTTCTATTCGTGAGATACGCGTTTTTATTTCTCTCGAAATTCCGGGCGTTCTAGTTTTAAGAGTTGCCTCTAACCCTGTAATAGGCAATGATAGCTGGATACCCCAAAATAGAATTGTAATGGCATTTATTTTAACTTCCTTGCATTTACAAACGCTAAATAAAGAACAAGATAGAAAATAAAAATATGTCTTGCATAATACGACCAGATTTAAGGTGTTTTATGTGCTTTCAGTCGAATTTAAAAATCATGTATAATATAGGCCTACGGTTTATCCGTATGATGTAGTGGAAATTTGCAAAATATTTTTGTGTAATGATTGGATGAGTGGGCTATGTCACTTTCATATCATGACGGCAACCAAAAAAGGTATTTTATATCATTTGCACAAAAAACAGAAACAGAAGCAATTTACAAAATTTAAAGTATATTAATTTAAACCTTTTTGTTAATGATTCATGAAACGTTTTACAACCAAAATGACCGGATGCGTGTTCCGGCCTTACCATCATATACCTAGATACGTCGGGCATACCTATGCCAATTGAATGATATCACTACCATGGATACAAAATTTCCTGTTTTTTTTCTCACTATTTCCAACCTAGCGCAACGAACGATGTTCCAATACTTCATTATAAAAAAAAACTTAATTATTTTGTTCTTCAAAATGTATAGAGAATCGTTGATTTTCATTGATGCCATGCATCTAAATAGAAAATGAATATATACATAATCCCTAAGTTATTTTATAACTAAACTCTACCAAGAGCACATGAACTAGGCCTGTTCATTCCATTCATAATTTTTCTTTAATGAAATTCTTTTCATTAGTATTCTTGAATGTGGACATATTGATTTCATGTGTGAATTCGTTTGCAATGAGTTTGACATCTCTTTCTAAAATATCCATACCAATGTATATTTAGCAACATTAATCACACGTGCGCATATCATTGAAGATCCGTCTGAAATCGTTGACAGCTGAATGGTGTAGATAGGTTTTGCAGGGGTGTGTCAAAAATGAGATGGAAAAGAAATATTTCGCAATTAAGTAAAAGAAGAAACTTTCCCCCAGGCCAAGTGAAATGGAAAGAGAGCTAGGGAATTAAAATGAAAGCTCACAACTTCCATCATGATGCAAGTTACACTTCAAGGCATCAAGAGGCGAGTTGACCACTCAATCGGTAAAGCCTCTGCCTGTCAAAACAAAGACCGAATCCAACCCAGGCGGATGACCGAAGCCTGCGTTGTGTGTCAACTTGCGCCCCCGCCCCCCCCCCCCCCCCCACTCAGTGTTATTTAGGGTACGCATATGCTTGTTCCCTCTTTTTGAAAGCACCCCCTATCTGAGGACTGCCAACATTTCCGAACCCCCCTTTCGCGGGCTTTTCGCGGGCTTTTCCTGCCCTGGAGACCCCCCTAAATCATGAAAAATGCTCAATGTACCCCCCTAAATTCGAAATAGTCAGGAGTCCAAAGAGATGAGAGGAAAAAAAAGGAAAAACACACCCTTTTTAAAGAAATCTCTGGGTGAAAAGTTAATACACCCCTTTTTTTTTACAATTCTCGGGCCGGACTTTGTCGCACGAAATGTACCCCTTTACCGGACATTTTGGTAACACGCATGGGGTCCGTCCGTTATCGGAGTGGGGGAGGGGGGGGGGGGCTTGCGCCTCCCTGTTTCATAGACGCAGATAATGTTACAGTGGAGCACACTTCGTCCCTCGAATAGGACGTTAAATGAAGGCCCCGCGTGAAGAGGAGAGTCGCCACTTTTGCACGTTAAGAACCCACTGCACTATTCGTATAAGAGTAGGGGAAAACCTAGCCTTTTGACAAGGTCTCGTGACTCTGGCTATTTTCCACCCCAATCAGCGGCTGAGATGAGTCTAACCAGAGACGAAGAGAGACCTAGAGACCCGGGGTGAACGCGCGATCGAGTGGTGTTAGCTGCGAGGCCTTTTGGATTCTAGCTTTTACTGCTCGCATGAATTATTCATCACTTTGGATTTATTGATCGTCCATCTCCCAGTTGGCTTTGTTCGTGATTCGTTCATTATCAAAACATGTAAGAAAAGGTAAGAGACGTAAATAAGTTTTGCTTACTCGGGTTTTCGCGATTAGTCTCTTTTTAGTCGCTCGGCGTCAGATATCATTATCAGAGACGAGGCCTTGTCTAAAGGATAGGAGAAACCCCGGTGTAGTGGTCCACCTGCAGAGCGAAGTGCTTTGATTATATTATGTTCAGCGATCACTCCTTTTTTAATAGCGCGGAAATTCAAATTTGCATGTACGTGATTACTGTCACCGGTGTCTAGGGACAGGGGCGGCGGAGCCTCTTTCAAAGTGGGGGGGGGGGGGGGGGCACAAACAAAAAAGGGCACCTTCTGGGAAAATGGGGACCTACAGAGAGAGACCTCAAAGTGAATATTTTATAATCTTTTAGACATCTGTATGTGCCTACATTGAGATTACATTATCAGGGATGATTTTGATGTTTGGTTTCTATATAATACATGGTCCAAGTTACTGCTTAAGCATCATACTTGGCAGTTTGGTGTGGTGGTCTGAAAATATTCATTTGCGAGCGAGAAAAGCGAATGAGCACACGTTTTAGATCAGTGAGGTCGCAGTAAGAACAAATTTATTTTTGATGAAGAGATACAATCAGAGAGAGAGAGAGAGAGAGGCAGATAGAGAGAGAGAGAGAGAGAAACAGGGAGAAAACTCAATATAGACTTAATACAGAGATGAAGAGATACAATCAGAGAGAGAGAGAGGCAGAGAGAGAGGCAAAAAGAGAGAGACAGAGAGAGAAACAGGGAGAAAACTCAATACAGACTTAATACAGAAATGAAGAGATACAATCAGCGAGAGAGGCACAGAGAGAGAGAGAGAGACAGACAGGCAGACATAGAGATATGTGGGAGCGAGAGGGACAGACAGATTGAGAAAGCGATTGTGAGAGAA